TCCGGGAGTGGAATGCCTCATCTCGGGAGCAAATGCGGCGGAGGCAAAGGAATAGGGGATGGCCTTTTTGCAGGAAGGTGGGTGAGAGGAGGTGTACTCTAGGTAGCTGTGGGAGTCAGTAGGCTGGGAGTGGATATCGGTTTCCAAGTGGTTGCCAGATATGGAAACAGAGGTGTCCAGGAAGGAGAGAGAGGTATCAGAGATGGTCCAGGTGAACTTAAGGTTGGGGGTGGAAGATGTTAGTGAAGTGGATGTACTGTTTGAGCTCCTCGTGGGAGCACGGGTGGCTCCGATACAGTCATCGATGTAATGAAAAAAGAGGTGGGGGATAGGGCCAGTGTAGCTTCGGAAGAGGGATTGTTCCAGGTATCCTACAAAGAGGCAGGCATAGCTTGGGCCTATGCGGGTACCCATGGCCACCCCCTTTGTCTGTAGGAAGTGGGAGGAATTGAAGGAGAAGTTATTAAGGGTGAGGACGAGTTCAGCTAAGCAGATAAGGGTGTCAGTGGAGGGGGACTGGTCGGGCCTGCGGGACAGGAAGAAGCAGAGGGCCTTTAGGCCATCTGTATGGGGAATGCAGGTGTATAGGGACTGGACATCCATGGTAAAGATGAGGTGTTGGGTACCAGGGAATCGGAAGTTTTGGAGGAGGTGGAGGGCATGGGAGGTGTCACAGACGTAGGTGGGGAGTTCTTGGACCAAGGGGGAGAAAATGGAGTCGAGATAGGTGGAGATGAGTTCGGTGGGGCCGGAGCAGGCGGAGACAATGAGTCGACCAGGTCAGCCAGGTTTGTGGATTTTGGGAAGGAGATAGAAACGGGCGGTGCGGGGTTGGGGAACGGTGAGTTTGGAGGCTGTGGGTGGAAGGTCACCTGAGGTGATGCGGTTGTGGATGGTTTGGGAGATGATGATTTGGTGGTTGGGGATGGGGTCATGATCAAGGAGACGGTATTGGAGAGCTGACGCCTGGCCTCGGCGATGTAGAGGTCAGTGTGTATTCCAAATGTGGTTTGACCAGAGCCTTATACAGCCTCAGCAGTACATCTCTGTTATTGTATTCTAGCCCTCTTGAAATTAATGCTAATATTGCATTTGCCTTTCTAACTGCCAACTGAACCTACACTGTTAACCTTAAGAGAATCCTGAGCTAGGACTCCATTTCCCCACTTAGAAAACAGTCTACACCTCTATTATTCCTACTGACCTCACACTTTTCCACATGGTAATCCATCTGCCACTTCTTTGCCCCCTCCCTTAGCCTGTCCAAGTCCTTTTGCAGCCTCCCTACTTCCTTAACACTACCTGTCCCTCCACCTATCTTTGTATCATCTACAAACTTAGCAACAATGCCCTCAGTCCCTTCATCCAGATTAGTAATGTGTAACGTTGTGGTCCCAACACTGACCCTTATGGAACTCCAGTCATCATCAGCTGCCATCCTGAAATAGACGCATTTATCCCTAATTTTTGCCTTCTACCATTCAGCCAATCCTCTATCCCTAACACAATGGGCTTTTATCTTATTTAGCAGCCTCTTTTGTGTTAACTTGACATAGGCCTTCTGGAAATCCAAGTAGATCACTTCCACTGGTTTTCCTTTGTCTGTGAAGATGCTCGTTACCATCTCAAAGAATTCTGACAGTTTTGTCAGGAATGACCTTCCCTTGACAAAGTTTTACCATGCATTCCACAATCTCATCCTTAATAATGGACTCAAATCTGATCAACAACCAAGGTCAGGCTAACTGGCCTATAGTTTCCTATTTTCTGCCTTTCTCCCTTAAACAGGGGTGGTACAATAGGTATTTTCCAGCCCTCTGAGACCCTCCCTGACTCCAGTGATTCCTGACAGATCACCACCAATGCCTCCACAATCTCCTGAGCTATGTCCTTCAGAACTCTAGGGTGTGGTCCATCTAGTCCTGGTCATTTAATCCCCTCCGGTCCTTTCAGCTTCCCCGGCACCTTCTCCTTAGTGATGGCCACTACACTCACCTCTGCCCCCCTGACTCTCCCGAAGTTCTGGCATGCAGTCTTCCACTGTGAATCTGATGCAAAGTCCCTATTAGGTTCCCCATTACTACTGCTCCAACCTCATTTTCCCACGGCCCAATGTCCACTTTTGCCTCTCCCTCACCTTTTTATATATATCAATATGTTTTGTATACTGCACGCATTTAATTACGATACCCTCAGTCCTGCATTGACTGCGCCTGAAGTTAGATTCCTGACCCTTTCTATACTCTGTCCTATTAATTGTTAGTGCAAACTTCAACATCACCTGAGCCCTCTTCCATTTCAAAGTTCTCCATAATTTTCCATGCAGCTAAACCCTGACGCACAGTTACAGCAGTGTGTACCATCTACAAGATGCCCTGCAGAAATTCACCAAAGATCCTCAGGAGGTACCTTCCAAACCCCACGGCCACTTCTGTCGAGAAGGACAAGGGCAGCAGATACATGGGAAAACCCAGCCCTCTGCAAGTTCCCCTCCGAGCCACTCCCCATCCCAACTTGGGAAATATGTCGGCCGTTCCTTCAGTGTCACTGCATCAAAATCCTGGAATTCCTTCCCCAAGGACGCTGTGGGTCAAACCCACGTGACATAAATTGCAGCAGTTCAAGAAGGCAGCTCAACCATCACCTTCTCAAGGAGCAATTAGGAACAGGCAATAAATGCTGGGCCCAGCTAGTGACACCCATGTCCCATTCACTAATAATGAGAGAAACCTTAAAAAGAGAGGTGGAAATCGGCCAGGTGGTGACTGAGTGCTGTGCTCGGAGAATTGGCAGGTGTGCCGTGCAATGTTTGCTGAAGGCTGAGTGATTTAAACTGTCCCCCCTCTATGTTTTCAGATTGAGGATCTGGAGAAGATTGGGATGTCATCAAGAACTCTGTCCACTTTCATGAAGGTAAGAGTCTGATCCAGACCTGTGTGGGGGGCCTCTCGCAGACTTGGTGACCCTTCCCTCGAAATAAACACTGACTCTGCAGCTACACAGTGCGGTTTAACGTGGAGGTGCCGGCGCTGGACTGGGACGGACAAAGTCAGAAGTTGCACGACACCAGGTTATAATTGAACGGGTTTATGTGAAATCACAAGCAGTGGCTTCACCTCACAAAGGAGCAGCGCTTCAAAAGATTGTGTTTGCAAATAAACCTGTTGGATTATAACCTGGTGTCGTGTGAATTGGACATGTTGGAGTGAATGGACAAACGTGTGGCAAGATGCAGTGTAATGTGGATAAATGTGATTATTACCTGAACAGCAATAAATTGGACAAGGGGCACGAGACCTGGAGGGCCTTGCGCCTCAGTTGTTGAGAGTAAGCTTGCAGGCAAATGGTATGTTGGCCTTCATAGCGCGAGGAGGATTCATATACAGGAGCAGTAAGAGCTTGCTGCAATCGGGTGGCACGGTGGCTCAGTGGTTAGCGCTGCTGCCTCGTGGCACCAGGGACCTGGGTTTGATTCCACCCTCGGGCGACCGTCTGTGTGGAGTTTGCACATTCTCCCCGTGTCTGCGTGGGTTTCCTCTCACTGTCCAAAGATGTGCAGGTTAGGGTGGGTTGGCCGTGGGAAATTGCCCATCAAGCTCTTGGTGCTAAGTGGGGCAGGGAAGCAGGACCAGGGATTGAGTTGGACGGTAAGCCGTGATGGTATTGAAGGGCCGAATGGCCTATTACTTACTTATGTTCCTATTCTTTCTTTTTGTTTCTTTGAGGTGACCCTAATGAATAAACAGGTATGATCAAAGGAAAGCCTTTTTTTTTCTGGGTATCTTTAGTGAATAACAATTCTTTGTGTTGTCTACACCCTAGGCCAACGTGGTGAGCTGTATGGTGAAGTGAATGCCTGGTGTGGGCGAAGGATCCAGAGCTGATCTTCAAACTGTCAGCGAGCTGTCTTAACGTCCTTTACCTTCACTGTGCATGCCAGAGTCTGGTGTGAAAATAGAAGCCTTTAGTTGTACTGTATGTGTGTGTCTTCTACCTGTTCCCACACCAACCACAGAAGATTGTAATTATGACAATTCTGACTGTCAAGTGCATCCAGTCTGGAGGGAATAAGCAGGTGTCATGGGCCCTGCTGTTACTTTTCAGTTTAAACCTTCCTCCTGGCCCTTGGCAATTCATGTTTTAGAGCAAGTTTCTCTTTTCTTATTTAAGTATATGGAACGTGGCTGTGAACAGTCTCTATCTCAGCCCACATGTCACTGCCGTTGCATTTTAACCATTTCTGTATTTCAAATAAAAGCTGTTTGTTTTAAACTGGTTGCACTATTAAATGGCCAGTGAAATTTCTGTCCACAACTCTAGTAGTCCTTGCTGCAGCAGTGGTTAGGGATATGCAAAGCACGTTAGACTATATTACCCTAGTAGTCTCCCTCAGTATCTGAGGAGTCACAAATGGTGCTGAACATTGCACAATCATCAGCAAACATTCCCCACTTCCGACCTTATGATGGAGGGAAGGTCATTGATGAAGCAGCTGAGATGACTGACCTCCAACAACCACAACCATCTTCCTATGCGTCAGGTATAACTCCAACCACTGGACAGCTTGCCCCTTGATGCCAAGGGGTGGGTCACTCTCACCTCTGGAATTCAACTTTTTTTTTGTGTCTGTGTTTGAACCGAGGCTGTAATGAAGTCAGGAGCTGAGCAGCCCTGGTGGAACCCAAACTGGGCATCACTGAGCAGGTTATTGCTGAGGGAGTGCTGCTTGATAACCCCTTCCACACATCGTTAGTGATCAAGAGAAGACTGAAGGGGTGGTATTTGTCCTGCTTTTGTATGTAGGACACAGCTGAGCCATTTTTCCACCCTGTTGGGGCGATACCAGAGTTGTAGCTACTGGAGCACAAGTCTGTAATTACTGTTGTCAGTCATCTCTCAAACACAAGATGGGGGCTAGCTCTCCTTACCTCCTTGTCCTATTTTACTCTTTTCCACCCCCAGTGAGTAAGCCAACAGTAATGAAGAGTAAACACAATAGGTTTGGAAAAAACAGGCCTTTAATCACTTGTCTGCAACGTTTCCAAACTTGCTGCGCGACTGGTTATCCTGAGTTTTCAGAGTTTGACCCTCTTTCCTGCTTTTGATAGGTGCAGTTCAGTGCCGGAGAGCAGGCGGGGGGGTGGGTGGGGAGGAAACCACAGACCTGCAACCTCTCCTCCTCGCTGTTTCCAAAGCTTTGTCACACATTGCCTGGAGACAGCAGTGTCACTCAATCAGACCAGTGGTGTTCGGTGATTCTTCGTATACCACGACCACAGATGGTTCTGTAACAGGCGGAGAGCGAGCGTTAGCAGCTGTCTCACCTCACCCTACCACCTCTGCCCAGTGTCAGATCAAAGGTTCAGTGGATCTCAGAGTTTGCCAGATAACCCTCACTTCAACCCAATGAAATAACAATCAGAGATAACAAGAGCTGGATGAACGCAGCAGGACAA